TATATCATTCAGAAATACTGTCATGGCCCTGAGTGTGACGACTGAGTGTTTTGTATTTCTGGTTTCTGTTCTGTGCCTGCTCACACTTCTCTGTTCCCTCTGTCTGTGTGTCACACTGTCTGTCGGGTTCTGTGTCTGTGAGTTTCCTGTTTTATTCTGAAGGTCTCTGTCTCATGTGAGTGTTGTCAGTCTTACGTCTGTGTCTCGTCAGCCTTGCTTTCTCCCAGGTGTGTTCCCCTCCTGTGTCCCATCCCACGATTACTCCTGTGAGTATTTAAGCGCTGTGTGTTCTCCTGCCTGTTGCTGGTTTGTGTGCTTTCCCTGCATCGTCCTCTGTCTCACTGTATCAAGGTTTGTGTTTGCTTAGTTTTCCCAGTTTAGGTTTTCTCAGCTCTGTTTTCGCCGCCCTCACCTTTGTTATATGTTCACTCTCCATTAATAAAGCTCCCTCATATCAGTAGTGCCTGCGTCTTGGGTCCTTTAATAATTCCACACGGTTTGCCCTGCTAACCATGACAAAGACACCATTCTTTAACAATGTGAAGTTTTTATTACTGTGTGCTCAAATATGGGACTTATATTTATTTATCTTAGCTGTCATGGTTTTGACTGGCTCGTATTTTAGATGCTCCAGAGCAGTCAGTGTTTCCAGGAAGTGTGCTCCTCTTACTGTGACTGTGCCAAAGTAATCCGTGTTCACCAAAATGGTTTTATCCACAGTAACATCTCTATGTGGAGCAAACAGAGAGAAGTGAACCATTATTTCTATAATAATGTTTTGAGTCTTAATGTGACGGTTTAAAAGCAGTTGCTTGGACAGGTGAAGTCACAGACGATTTAATAAAGCAGCTCCTCAAAACCTTTTACATCTCATTGGACTCGCGGCTCCTTCGTCCTGTTCATTCAGGTGTTCAGAAAATATCTTGTGAAAGCACACAGTGCAGCAGTGAATACAGACACCGTTAGAGATTGTTCCCCTCGCAGGAGTTGATAGAGACATAAATATGCAAATCACTTTGGAAGAACTGACCTTTAAATCCAAAAAGCCAATCCTGTAAGTCACAGTGCTGGGACCAGTGTATTTCTATCATTTATGTGAGGCTAATAAAAGCTTGCATTTATTTTAGAGATGAAAGCCGTTCATCCAGAACCAGAGCTGCTGTTTGATGAGCTTCCATGTTACAGGTTTATACGTGACTGTAACATCCTGGAGGAAATAAAATGATTGCTTGTGTAACTCGACGCGTTTCTTTCACAACCTGCAGACGTGTTAGGACAGGGAGCTGCTGTCGATGGTGCATCCACCCAGGTCAAAACATCTGGACACAAACATGTGGAGTCATGATGACTAATGTCCCAAATACACAGTACAAAACTCTCCGTTTGACACACAATCCGGTCGTTAAGTGATGACGTGATGAATCCTACTTCCGGGCCTAAAGTAGTCTGCGTTTAATATGCTTTTGTGTTGTTAACATGTTTAATGTTTTGTATTTTCTTCTATTTAATCTCAAAAAGCTCCTAAAACAGTCAGTGATCACTGTTGACCTCCCTCGGCTTTTATTACTGCTAATCATTTATTTAAGCTCAGTTTTTAAAACTTTAGGATGTAACTACAGCCCAGCCCATGCAGCAGTATATGAATGACTAACCTCGTATTGTGGATGGATTATCTCAGTT